TAACACCAGCGGTGAATGAAGAAGGAGAAACAATACAGAGCTAGAAATATTATTCCAAAACACAGCCATAACAGAAGTGATAAAAAAGCGAAGGCTCCAATGGGCAGGCAACGTTCGGAGGAGCCAAAATGAGCTAATTAGAGCAGTGTTAGAACAAGACTCACGAGGAAAAAGACCGCTGGGAAGACTGAAAACAAGATGAGAAGACTTAGTTAAAAAAAATGTGCAATCACCAAGAGGAGGAACGAATTGGAAAGAAAGATCAATGGATAGAGAAGAATGGAGGAACAGATGTGAGATGGGATGGTCTTGAAGTTGCTTTCAACTTCAACAAGCCTTTAACCAAAAAATAAATGAATAAATAAATAGTAATACAATTATTAAACTATATTAGGTACTTTAGGAATAAATAGCATTCAAAAAAATTAAATTTGTTCTAAGAACAATAATATTTGACATGGCTCAAAATAATTCATTGTGAAAACGAAACATATATTTATTTATTGTATTAAAATTAAAAATATATCCCATATTATATAAGTTCACTGGGACATGTAACAAAATGTTTATTTTCCTTCTTGAAATATGCTAAAATCAATTACCTACAGTAGTGAATTATCATCGTATATGCATGATAAAGAATAAAACATAAATACTAAATAGTAAAAAGCAGGTAAGTTGTGGATGTCACTCTGTTGTACAGTAGGTTACAAGTGGGTTACTGTAATGGATGGAATTAAATTTGAATCCAATGATATTATATCATTGTATACGAAAAACGGAAACGGTTTATCTGTCTAGGATATATTATAGATTATTAAAAAATTTCAAATCTTAGATTTAAAAAGAAAAATTTTATGTTATCAAAATTCAAACTTTAAATGCTTATAAAAAAAATTGTGACAATATATTTCTTTTATTTTTCAAATGCTATTGTAAAAATATGTTAGGATCCTTGTACTAAATTTTCAAATTTTAGATATAAAAGGAAATTTTTTTATGAATTTCTAGCCTAAAATAATTTACGAATTTTCGTGATTTTTACATAATATTATGTTGTCAAAATTCAAACATTGAATGCTTATAAAAAAAAATGGTGACTATATATTTCTTTTATTTTTCAACTACTATTTTAAAAATATGTTAGGAGCCTTGTATTTAATTTTCAAATCTTAAATTTAAAAAGAAAAACTTTTATGAATTTATAAGATAATTTGAAC